CTGGATTTCAGGTGCCACGGGCAAGGAAAATGAAAAAAAATGAAGTTTAAAATGAAAAAAAAATGAAGTTTGAAATGAAAAAAGAAAGATGTTTGAAATGAAAAAAATGAAGTTTGGAGAAACAAAAAACGAAAAAAAAAATGAAAAAAACATGAAAATAAATGAAAAATAAATGAAAACAAAAAAATGATTGAAAAACACAATGAAAAAAATGAAGTCACAAATGAAAACCCAAATGAAAAATAAATGAAAAAAATAATTTTAAGCATGTCCAATCTGTGGCTCGATGCGAATCATATAATACATGTTCTTCAAGTCTAGAACTTTCAAAAAATGTGGATGCCAAACCAACAACGGAGCATGTTACTAATTAAAACAACCGTGCACCATTTGAGGGTTCCCACAGGCAAGAGGGCTTACAAACTTGCAGGTGCTCACCATTTGTCTCATTGAACCTTATATATATATATATACTCACATATATGTATATACATATATATATATAGATCTCTTATCACCTAGTTTGGACACCTGTGTTGCCCCATGGCAATCCTGACCACTTCGTCATTATTTTTGCTGTACTTTGATTTATTTTGTAGATTTGGTTCTCCGATTCTGCGCCCGGTTTGCCGAGGTATAGCCCTGGGTGTAATGACCGGCCCCGTGGTGGGAGGCCTCATCAGCAATCAAGGCTTCACTGCGGCATGCCGCGCCTGGGCACCGCTTCACTGGGGAAGCAGTTGGCCACCAACAAAGGAAGGAAAAGGCAGGAAACTGAAACAAAGATTATGTTTGTTTAAAAGAACACAGATGAACACAGGTCAAAGATGAAGATAGAGCTATAGAACCAACAAAATAGGCTCACTTCAAAGAGCCGGGGATAAAAATCCACAATTTCACGAGTGGGGGGAATCCAATAGTTGGAGTGTGAAATGATTTCATTCACCAGAGATGGTAATCTTACAGCCCAGTCAATGGAAGGGGGTGGTCCCAAATGAATTGGTCCGGAGACTTGCGATGGGGATGGTTCAATACTTGTGGGGCCATCTATGTTGGTGTCCACCAGGGTACCTAGGTTCCGACCACATTTTCATGCATACCCATCTCTCGATGCTCGGGCTCTTCACGGTGCAGTCGATAGGTCACAGTGGGTTTGCTGATGGAAGAGGGAGGGTGGAATTCCGGGAATAACCAAGAAACAGCCAAGGAAAAAATAGACTTCGACCAAAAGAAGAGAAATTTAATCCCATGAGTATTGAATTTACTGAATATTTCACAAATTTGACAGTTCAAGGGCAAAACAATGATGTTTGTCTGGCGTCCAAGGCGTTTGTGCTCTTTTGGCGGCATCCAACTTTGCATTCACGTGCTTCTGTCTTGGATCGCCTACGGCTTCAACCAAAGCTGTTCGGCTGTATCGATGCGGCACCACACTGAATGAACATTCCACTCTAGTCTATCCATGTCTATGTTGTCCAGGCAGCTTGCAAGCTGCAACTGTTTGATCTCATGCATGTCATGAATGCCATACATGTCATGCACGTCATGCATGTCATGCATGTCATACATGTCATGCATGTCATGCATGCCATACATGTCATACATGTCATGCATGCCATACATGCCATACATGTCATGCATGTCATACATGTCATGCATGTCATACATGTCATGTATGTCATACATGTCATGCACGTCATGCATGTCATACATGTCACACATGTCACACATATCATGTTATGCATGTCATGCATGCCATTCATTGCCATACATGTCATACATGTCATGCATGTCATACATGTCATGCATGTAGAGGCAGAGGTCAAGACAGACAGTGTCCTTCCTTCCTCTTCGTTCCTTTCCTGCTGGAGGCTCCAGACACCACAGAGGAGCGGCCGAGCATTCCAGGTCTAGCGTGGCTGTTGTCACTTGGCGGCATGTTCAATGGAAAGCTTGAAACTTAGTCATGGGTTGTGTCAGTGAATGAAATGCGAATGGTGGAACTAGGTCAGCACGCGTCGGCACATTGAAATTTCGCTAAGGGGCCTGGCCTCGCCATTTTCGGGATTGGGCCGTCCATGGCCATGGCTCAGGTGTATTAGCGCCTTCTTGAGCGAGGTGTGGTTGATTCAGGAGCAAAGGAACAAAATCCAAGTCATCTCTGATCAATAGTGATTGATGCACAAGCCGAATGGTATCAAATCGGTACAAGTCGAATGTCACAAATTCTGAGAACTCAGAATCAGACTCCAGATATCTCCAGAGTACGACAATCAAAGTTCTCTTTCCGGGCCAAGATTGGTACAGGGCACATGATGAACAAGATGCCAAGTGATCCGTTGAAAATCAAAGCGCCCCAAACCAACAGTGGACAACATGTGATTCAAGAGATATTGTTTCTACAATTTGGGTAGCAAACAGGTGCTCCACTTAAGCTGATGCGCTTTGGCTGCCCACTTTGGGATCTATAGCGTACTTGAAGGCTTTGTTTTCACGGTATTACTTCCGTGCATTGTAGATATGTTGTAAAGTGCAGCCAGCACGCCTCTTCCATTGCAAAAGTGCGTGTGCTTCAATACGTCAGCGCTGTTTCCTTCAGATATCAAACGCGTAGAAGTAAACTTTTTTTAAGCTGACTACCTTCGGAAAGGAAGCCAACATGCCAGGATATATTGATGGTGTTGCAGCGGCAGCAGTTTTGTCAGAAATGAGCTGCAGCAGTCAGCAGTTGTTGCTTTATGATAATACACACACTTGCGCGAAACAATTCTTTTACTACACCTCGATAACTTGGGGCTGTTAACTACAGGCGGGCGGGCACTGTCAGGATCCCGGCTGCAGTGGGCGGGTGTGCCCCCGTGTCTCGATGGTGCTAGTGTCTTGGCGGTGTCTCTGTGATGTCTCGGTTTTGTCGGTAATCTCTGGCTGCTGCCGCGGTTGCCCCCGGTGGTGTCCCGGTGGTGTCCCGGTGGTGTCCCTCGGTGGTGCCTTGGTTGCGTCTCGGTGGTGCCTTGGGTTCAGGGTGCTGCTTTTGGAGTGTTGTGTCTACTTTGGAGCTGGCCTCGTCAGAGCGGTCTGTGCGCTTTGGAGCTGGCCGTGCTGGTGCCGCTGCAGGCCGCTGCAGGGTGCTGCTTCTGCAGGGTGCTGCTGTCAGAGTGCTGCGTGCGCTTTGGAGCTGGCGTGCTGGTGCTGCTCCAGGGTGCTGCTGTTAAGGCTGCCGTTGTCGGACGGGCCCGCTTGCTGGTGCTGCTGCAGAGCGCGAGTGCAGGGTACTGTCAAAGGGTTGTCTGCATCTTAGGACTTTGGGTGGAGATTGCGTTATGCTGTAACAAAAAAAGGCGAGCGCTTGACTGCCGCCAAAATATCCTTTGCTACCTGAGTTCTATGCTGGCATAATTCTTGGTTTTTGACTGTCGTTTCTTTCAGGATTGTTTTTCAATTGCTTGTTTTGACCATACCCAACTTTGGACAAGAACCGTTAGCTTATACTCGATTATAGTGAACTCACCCTGCCCGATCCAAAATCTTGCGTTTAGTTGGGGGGACTTCCCGGGAAAGTCGCCCCAACATGCGTTTACTTGCTGTGGATCAGTTGCGTAAGATAGAAAACGATGCTTTAGAAGTAAAGTTTGCTTCATTTAGCTTGTGTTTACACTGGTGAACTTGTTTTTTTGTCATGCCTGGCTCATTCATGCGACCTTCAAGCAAATCCAGTCACGTGTTTACATGTCGCCCTGCCGGGGGTGGTGCCTTTCTAGAGTAGTTGCATCAATTCATCTAATTACAGTAGATGCTGGCCTGCAGCTAGGCTGTTGTCGGGCTGATGCTAAATGGCTGCGGTGCTGAGCTGCTGCCAGACTGCTTCTAGACTCCTGCTATAGAGACTTGCTGCCGGGCTGGTGGTACTGCTGCTAAAGCTGAGGGGGTTCCAAAGCTATTTTCTGGCCTCGTTCGGGCCTCGTTTTGGGCTCGTTTTTGGCCTCGTTCGGAACCCGTTGCGGAAATATTGATTTGAGATGTAAATCAGAACCCCATAGATTTGTTACCAAAACATACCAAAACATACATGAATCATTCGTTCACATTGTGCTTTGATCCAAAAGATTACATTTCTTAGATGTACCTGTTACACTTTTAACATTCGAATTAGATGCGTTTTGTATCAAAAGAGATATTCTACCCAAATATACATGAATCATGCGTTCACATGGTGTTTGGCTATCAACATATATCGTTTTTTGGATAATTTTCCATAGTTTAAGACCATTGGGGTGACTTGCGTTCTGATTGTGTTTTGCACATTTGGGATGATAGTTTTTTTGTACTTTTTCATTTTCGTGCTGCGTTTACAATGGGCGAAGAAGTTGGGGTGACTTTTCCTAGCAGTTGGGGGACGTAGTTCCATGCGGGAATGACACTTGACTGCAACGTTGGGGGACCTTCGATGGCATTGAGTATAGCCTTGAAGTGGGCTATGAAGTGCTGGGACATCGGAGTTCTCGAACAGTCTGAAAAGGCCCCCATGCCTGAAACACAGAAATGTCCGATGACAGGCCGGAATGGCTGTGGCTTGGCTGCAAGCATGACCTCTTGGGGTCTCTTGGGATCGCTTGGGACCTATCAGGATCTCGCTGGATGGCTTGGGGCCTTTTGGCATCTCTTGGGATCTCCTGGGAACTTTGAGACCTTGGGACCACATGGACTCTGGGGGGGGGCACGCCTGAGGCTTGGGAGAGCTGTGCGGCGCTTTACATCATGGATAGCTCCCAGTCTGCGCTTGACCTGGTCAGCATTGGCCAACTTGAAAAGGGCGTGAAGTCAATCTTCCCAAACCTGGGAGCATGAGTTTAATTTAAGACCGAAGCTGGTAGCACCAATGCCCCAAGCATTTTTTTTTGATGCACCTTCAGACTCATGTGGCCCTACCAGTTTCTCCCGTTTGGAGCATTGCAGGTTACTTCTGGCACTATCCTTCGCCTGCAACTTCAAGCTCTCAGTTTTTTGCGGGCGGCCACTGAACAGCACCAGATGCGCATTGCTGCAGCTGAACCAGAGTAGGGCCAAACGGAATGGAGCCTGCCACATCTTTATGTGAGACCTTTAGCGGTTTCTGCCAAGCACCACCAAATCCTTCACGTGAGAAAAGTAATTCTGCGGAACATCATCGCCATGGAGCCTGTGACGTGACAACAGCTGGGCAGATAGATGCAGATAGCTTTTCTTTGCTGCGTATTCTGTTTGTCACCAGTCCGAGGCATGGCGATGTCTGGCGTGCTTGTGGTCTTCACAACTGTAGCGTTATTTCCTGCCTGCATGGAGATGTTCAAACAATGGCTGCTGGGCAAATCCAGAAGAATAGGAGGGCAGGGCATTCAGCTTTGCCATGATCATGTCAGCATGTCACGCGCATGAAAAGCATGCAGTGGAAAGTCGGAAGAATGGTCATATATACATTGAAACAGATGGCCGAAGAAAGAATCAGCAGCTTGACCAGCCAAGGTTCACTGTGGCTATAAGTAGCTAGGCCGCAGAGCTATTTTATTCCTTGTGCAGTTCTTGCCAACCGCTGTGAGGCGATGTGAATATGTGAAGGCTTTTTCCAGTCAGAAGCTACAGTACTTGTGAAAGAAATGCTGCACAAGTTCCGGGCATAGCATTTTCCGAATTAATTTGATACAACAATATAGGCAGGAAGCTGGTTGGTCCAAGTTCAAACTTATGTGCAAAGCCTACCGTTCAAGCCACACCCTTCCTGCGTCGGCCTCAGGTGTTGCCTTGCGCCTGGCTGGGTTCGTGGGTATTGGATTGGCACCCAACAAATGGTTGTTCTTGGTGGGACAAGGCAGCCAGCCGACTGCGGATGGGTGAGGGAGTGTGGGTACTTCCCTCGGGGCTGTGCATTGTGACACTTTGTCTTCAAATTCTTCACAGCGGCAACGGCAACGGCCCATCTTCCTACGTTGCCTAACGAAGCTACGGAAGACCTGGTGGGAAGGGATCATGGATGCATGGACCTGTACCTGCAGTGATGACGGACCGATTTCGTACCGGAACCTCATACCAGGACACCGAAGAGAATTTCACAAGATCGTCAAAGAAGGGCCTTATATATATATATAGATAGACGTCTTAGACCTTCATACAAGAACTCCCTATGAGCATCCCAGAAGCACTTTCAAACAAGCATCTCTGATGCAGAGGATTCTAGATCTTAATGCAAGGACTTCTGAGGGAGGATTTGAATAGAATCTCAACAAGATCTTCTCATCTGGATACCCATAAGATCTTCTCACAGGGACATGTACAAAGGTATGCAAGGACCTTAGATGATGCCACCAGGATCTCCACAAGATCTTCTCACAAGGACTTGTACAAGATCATGCTAGGACCTCTTAGATGATTACAGCAGGATCTTCACAAGGTCTTCTCAGAATGACCTCTACAAGATCATGCGAGGACCTCCTTCCGGAGGATCTTCAGAAGATCTTTTCATAAGGAGCTGTGCAATATCACGCAAGGACCTCTTAGAGGAGTTCAGCAGGAGCTTCACACAAGATCTTCTCATCGAAGGAAGTTTAGAAGTCAAACTTCCGACAATATGGACAGATGAAAAGCAGAGCAGGGAAGAGGCAGAGAGAAGAGAAAGATCAGAAGAGAGAAGAGTAGAAGAGAAAGAGTAAGAGGAAAGAAGATGGAGATGCGCGAAAAGGTAGGAAAGTCGCGATTCACTGTGTTTTTCCCGAGAGCGCCTGCGAAGGGTTCTTCGTAAAAAAGCAGCCGTTATACTACATCTTCACACCTTCACATCTGCTGATCTACATCTTCACACCTTCACACCTGCAGATCTAGATCTTCACACCTTCACACCTGCAGATCTAGATCTTCACACCCTCACATCTGCAGATCTACATCATCACACCCTCACATCTGCAGATCTACATCTTCACACCCTCACATCTGCAGATCTTCATACCTTCACACCTGCAGATCTAGATCTTCACACCCTCACACCTGCAGATCTAGATCTTCACACCCTCACATCTGCAGATCTAGATCTTCACACCTTCACATCTGCAGATCTAGATCTTCACGCCCTCACACCTGCAGATCTAGATCTTCACACCCTCACACCTGCAGATCTAGATCTTCACACCCTCACACCTGCAGATCTAGATCTTCACACCCTCACACCTGCAGATCTACATCATCACACCCTCACATCTGCAGATCTACATCTTCACACCCTCACATCTGCAGATCTACATCATCACACCCGCACACCTGCAGATCTAGATCTTCACACCCTTACACCTGCAGATCTAGATCTTCACACCTTCACATCTGCAGATCTCTTCTCGCTCTTCTTCTATTCTCTCTTAAGGCGGGGGCGGTGCCGCCGGAGCGCCACGAAACGCAACCCTTTCGCACGAAATGGACGTTGGACGTCCAAAACCTAGGTAAAAATGCGATTTTGAAGCGTCGCCGGCAACCCTTTCGCACGAAATGGACGTTGGACGCCAAAAACTGAGGAAAAATTGCAACTTTTATTGGTCGCGCGCAACCCTTTCGCACGAAATGGACGTTGGACGTCAAAAACTGAGGTAAAATTGCAACTTTGAGGTGTCGCGCGCAACCCTTTCGCACGAAATGGACGTTGGACGTCAAAAACTGAGGAAAAATTGCAACTTTGAGGTGTCGCGCGTAACCCTTTCGCACGAAATGGACGTTGGACGTCAAAAACTGAGGAAAATTGCAACTTTGAGGTGTCGCGCGCAACCCTTTCGCACGAAATGGACGTTGGACGTCAAAAACTGAGGAAAAATTGCGACTTTGAGTTGTCAATCGCAACCCTTACGCACGAAATGGACGTTGGACGTCAAAAACTGAGGAAAAATTGCGACTTTACTTTGTCAATCGCAACCCTTACGCACGAAATGGACGTTGGACGTCAAAAACTGAGGAAAAATTGCGACTTTACTTTGTTATTCGCAGCCCTTATGCACGAAATGGACGTTGGACGTCAAAAACTGAGGAAAAATTGCGACTTTACTTTGTTATTCGCAGCCCTTATGCACGAAATGGACGTTGGACGTTAAAAACTGAGGTAAAATTGCCATGGACGCTTTCGTTTGTGTAAAAGTGCCTGTGTGTAAAAGCGTCTGTGTGTAAAAGCGTCTGTGTGTAAAAGCGTCTGTGTGTAAAAGCGCCTGTGTGTAAAAGCGTCTGTGTGTAAAAGTGACTGTGTGTAACAGCGTCTGTGTGTAAAAGCGTCTGGGTATAAGAGTCTCTGTGTATAAGAGTCTCTGTGTGTAAAAGTGTTTGTGTGTAAAAGTGATTGTGTGTAAAAGCTTCTGTGTGTAAAAGCTTCTGTGTGTAAAAGCGTCTGTGTGTAAAAGCGTCTGTGTGTAAAAGCGTCTGTGTGTAAAAGCGCCTGTGTGTAAAAGCTTCTGTGTGTAAAAGCCTCTGTGTGTAAATGCTTCTGTGTGTAAAAGCCTCTGTGTGTGAAAGTGTTGTGTGTAAAAGCGTCTGTGTGTAAAAGCGTCTGTGTGTAAAAGCGTAAAGTTGCATTTTTGTGTCTTCTTGGATTAAAGCGTTGGTGTGGGCCGTAAAAGCCTCTGTGTGTAAAAGTGTTTGTGTGTAAAGGCGTCTGTGTGCAAAAGCGTCTGTGTGCAAAAGCGTCTGTGTGTAAAAGCGCTTGTGTGTAAAAGCGTCTGTGTGTAAAAGTCTCTGTGTGTAAAAGCGTCTGTGTGTAAAAGCGTCTGTGTGTCAAAACGTCTGTGTGTAAAAGCGTCTGTGTGTAAAAGTGTTTGTGTGTAAAAGCGTCTGTGTGTAAAAGCTTCTGTGTGTAAAAGCGTCTGTGTGTGTGTAAAAGTCTCTGTGTGTAAAAGCGTCTGTGTGTAAAAGCGTCTGTGTGTAAAAGTGTTTGTGTGTAAAAGTGTTTGTGTGTAAAAGTGTTTGTGTAAAGGTGTTTGTGTGTAAAAGCCTCTGTGTGTAAATGTGTTTGTGTGTCAAAGTGTCTGTGCGTAAAAGCGTCTGTGTGTAAAAGTGTTTGTGTGTAAAAGTGTTTGTGTGTAAAAGTCTCTGCGGGTAAAAGCCTCTGTGTGTAAAAGTCTCTGTGTGTAAAAGCGTCTGTGTGTAAAAAGCGTCTGCGTGTAAAAGCGTCTGTGTGTAAAAGAGCCTGTGTGTAAAAAGCGTCTGTGTGTAAAAGCGTCTGTGTGTAAAAGCGTCTGTGTGTAAAAGGGTCTGTGTGTAAAAGCGTCTGTGTGTAAAAGCGTCTGTGTGTAAAAGCGCCTGCGTGTAAAAACGCGTCTGTGTGTAAAAAGCGTTTCTCCATACTAACAACAGAAGACTCTGCTCCTCTACGCTCTCGGGCCATCCGTTGTCTAGTTCCAATGATTTGTGGCTCCGGAGGGTCGAAAAGTAGGCTCGCTAAAGCGGCGGGTGTGGTGCCAGCTGCCCAGAGGAGAGATGAAAAATTGCACGCCGTTGTGGCGCGAAGCACATTTCCAAGTCAAAATGTACAAAACACACCAGCTCCGGACCACTTTTGGAAGTTGAGATGTTGAAAAAGTGCACGCCGTTGTGGCGCGAAGCACATTTCCAAGTCAAAATGCACAAAACACACCAGGTGCGGACCACTTTTGGCAGTTGAGATGTAGAAAAAGTGCACGCCGTTGTGGCGCGAAGCACATTTCCAAGTCAAAATGTACAAAACACCACATGTTCGCGCCACTTTTGGAGCGTCAGATGTCGAAAAAGTGCACGCCGTTGTGGTGCGAAGCACATTTCGAAGTCAAAATGCACAAAGCACCACATGTTCGCGCCACTTTTGGAGGTTCAGATGTCGAAAAAGTGCACGCCGTTGTTGCGCGAAGCACATTTCGAAGTCAAAATTACAAAACACCAGGGTTTCGGACCACTTTTGGAGGTTCAGATGTCGCTTCGCTTCACTACACTACATTACACTACACTCCACTACACTGCACTGCACTACACTACA